CAGTAACAGGATGATTAGGCATATTAGCAGAGTGCCTCGTTTAGTTACTGATAGGCAGCAAACCCTTTGTCTCTTTTCTTTTTTATGATTTTTCATCTCTTCTCTTTTATACTTCTCTGAGCTCGTATTAGCAATTGACCCACAATGTGGAAATGTAGGCACTCCACAATGGCTTTAGGCAAACAGAAAGATTATCAGTATACATGAGACTGAATCAATTTCTTCACTCTCTACAAGAACGAGATAGCCTTTTGAGGCACCTCAGTTTGAGCTTTCCTGAAATCCACACAGCACACTGTAATTGCTTGCAGAGACTTGTCCTAATTGGCAGCTTAAGGAAAGAGAACCAGACAGTTTATACCACGTTCCACATGGAAAGTTCTTCAGAGACCATCGAAACAATTAAAAGCATTTCCCTCTTTCTGCCTAAGGTTCATGACTTGAAACAGAGGATGAAATTACAGCAAATCACACATTGAGGAGTCCATGAACTTTTCCCAAAGTGGATGACATCCTCTGGAAAAAGTTTGGGAGGGAGAGGAGTACACAGAAGTTTTGTACATAATTTTTCTGTAGTACTCTTCCCATTGTTTTATAGGTTTATATGTTTTAGATGTACGTGTGACAAGTGTATCTGTAAAACATTTTATCTGGATCTTTCCCTTGTGAAACTTTGGAGCTCCATTTTTTACTGTTGTAATCAAATTAATTGCTTCATTACAGATCCTGAAGGCTTGCATGTCATTTATTTATTAAGGAGGTTTACATTTTCTCTCTTTTTTTTTTTTTTCATACTGAGTTATTTCAGCGTTTCTCCTACAATGTCTCTTACTCTTCCTAGGCTTAAAAGCAAAACATTCCCTGATTTGTTTCTCTTAAACTTTTGGGTTGGAATGGATGATGAAAATACTAAATCCCAAGAAGTCTGTTGTAAACCTGGCTTTATGAAACAAGTACTTACGTTTTCTCTTGGTAGGTGATTAAAAAAACTGAAGGAAAACTGTTTACTGAGGTTTTAGTCCATGGTGAGTTTAGCATCGGCTAAAATCACCAGTGCACTTACTCATTTCTTGCTGTGAGATATGGATTAGGAGAAGGGCAAAACAGTTTCAAAATTTAAAAGGTATAAAGAAAATTTATTAATAGAACTGCAAGAATAAGAAGCATCAGAATAAATCTTCCAAAATACCTTTCCTCTCCTTGCCTAACATTTTTCCTTCCCCAACTGACAGCATAGAGACAAAACTTGGTATGTTAGATCAGATACCAACTATACAATAGTCTTTCATCAGTTCTTGTAGGGAGAGGAGTGTTCTCTTGTCATGCCACGGAGACTTCTCCACAAGAAACAGTTTTCTCGTGGCTTTTCATTTCCATAAATAGAAGTCGCCTGTGCAAAAATTCTGCATCGTGACACTTCCATTCTCACAGCCCTCCTAGAGGTGTGTCTATGGGCCATGAACTCATAGGGTATTATTTTGAGTTGTCCAAAGGCAAAGGTTCTCTTCATCTGTCTCTGTGATCATCTCTGGGAACAGAGGTTTTCTTCTTCTCTCCCTGGAGGCAAAGGGTCTTCATCACTCTCATGTTTCTCTCTGTTCAGGTGTCTCATGGGATCACAACAACTTCAGTATCTGCTTGGCTTTATCAATGGACGCCTTTGCTCACATCAACAATTTGAATACTTCATCCCCCATATTCTTTCATGAATTAAAGGAGATTTTTCAGTATATCATTGTTCATCTTTATGGCCCTACCAAAAGAATATTTCAACCCAATGCTAAGACATCTCTTTATTCATCTTCTGTCTAGGGCTTGACTCTTTCTTTACTGACCTCAGTGTCTTCATGTTGTTTTCTATGTCTCTACTTTGTCTTTTTCTCTTGAGGAGAGAATAGTGGTCTGGAGGTCTCGTCTGAGCACTGAAAGGATTAAATCTTGCCAGGCCTGCAGATAGTTGTAGGCAGTGGCCGCAGCAGTCACGGTGTTGGATTTCAGGCCACACTGGGCCCCTCCCTCCGCCCAGCAGCCGCTTGGAGGGGGGTGCTCGGCCTGGAGCTGTCGGTACAGGCCGGGGTAGGGGGAGCTTAGTGTGGGTGAGATGTCAGCAGCCGTGGCCTGGGCCAGGCTGGCCCCCACCCCCAGCCTCCATCCCCCGCTCGGGAGCTGCTGGGGTCCGACCGGGCCTCCCCCAGGCCGCAGGGGAGTGGGGCCTGCCCCCACCAGAGCCCCGTTACCTTTTGAGGCCAGAAGAGAGAAAAAGAGAGTTCCCAGGTTTGTGGTTTTTAAGCTGTGGATCTCACAGAGGCGGATCTAATTTCTGAATGGTGCAAAATGTTGTCCATTCTCAGAACCAGCCAAGTATTGGCCTGTCCCAGGCACCGAGGAAGCTCCCAGCAACTTCTCTCAAAGAAATCACTTCCAGGGGTGTTTTCTTACTTCTTCCCCAAATGTCAATCAATGTGAAACCACCACAAATCTAAGGATCATTTTTTATTTTCCTTGGTATTGAATAGACAAGCTTTTTTCTCTCAAAACAAACACCCCCACTGGTTCACCATGTAGCCCATTTTGGAGCTGCTTCATCAGTGATGTACTTCTGCAGTGACTGACAACATCTTTCAGAATACTCACAGCTAGCTTGAACTCTCACCTCAACCAAAGAGGCTCACTTCTTTCTCAAAATACTCTCGCTGCTACCTTGAACTCTCATGCTGGCAGTCGCCTTGTAATCACAGCAGACACAACAGATGCTTCCCCTGGGAGAGATACACAAAATACAGCATTTTTTAAGTGCAAGGAGGCACTGCTCATTTCCCAGCTGCAGGTGAGAATGCATCTAACTGGCAGATAAATACATATTTATTAAACCTGGAAGCTTAGAAATATCTGTTTGTTGTTTTCATAGAATCCTTTATATTGAATTAAAATCAAGGTGTAGGAAAGAAATATTCAGAAAATATTTCCTGTTAAACTCATTGATCCTTAAGATGTGTTTTACTTTCTTATCTGATGGTCATCCTATACACTGGCTCTAGAGAAGAGACTGGAGGAGAGAGCACAGAATAAGATCAACCAAGTTATCATTTATCTCCCCTAAGCTGTTTCCTTTGCTGCACAAAATGACAGCACATTTATGTTTTAGACCCATTATTGTGCTCAGGGATGCTGAGAACCCCTTGTCCAACTTAACTGACTAGAAAGCTTATCATAACCATTATCACTTTCATCTACAGCAAAGTCCAGCCAATTGGCTTTTGTTATGCATAGTTACTACAGAGGAGAAATAATAATAAAGTTCTCTTTAAATGCTGGTTTCTCTTTTTCCTTTTTCCCAATTTCCCCTGAATTGTATCACCTGGAATGACATTACAGCACTGTAGTTCTTGTCTATCTCCATATCTACTGTTTATATCATAAATATATATTCTGGTTTTTGCTATTCAGGGCATGAATCTTATATAAACAGATGCTTTTAAAGTTCTTCAGCTGTGGCAAGTAGAGGCCATATGCAGGGGTTAAGGATGGTCTGCTGACAGTGAATGTGCTAACCTTTTTTTGTTTTTACTCTGCCTAGCTGTTGAGTAATGCTATTGCAATGTAATTATTCTTTACAGTGGGATGTCTTTGTCAAAAGAAAAGGGCCATCTAGATCAGAAAATCCTGTGATTTATCATCCTAGTTTGTGAAATATTTTAAATATTTCAAAAGCAAAGGCCTTCCAGAACTTGTCTTCACCTTCCAGGTACAATGGCAAGATAAATGTCCATGCCATAGCACTGAAAGGAAGGAGACATTCTGCTTCAATAATTTTCTTTCTACTATCAGTACAAGAGGCATGAATGTGAACTTTATGAAAATTTCAGTGAAGAGATCACGAAGTGAAAAGAATGCGTGCCTGTGGATGGCTTGGTTTGAAGTGGGCTATGCTGAGGAGATCTGTACATCCACAGATGTCCAAACATCTTAACTTTGGCAGTACCCATATGCTTTAAACCCACAAGGTCACAGCTGCTGTCTTGTTTACATGTTTTGCAGCTGCTGGAGATAACAGAGGAATGGAAAACAGGGTGGTATAGCTGATATTTCACCCAGTCATGTTCTGGGAACCTGAAGACGTACAGCTCTGGATGGACCTCCTACTCACTGCACATTGCACAGATCCCTTGTTCTCTGGCATGATAATTTTTAGAGCTCCTAAAGGGTTTCTTAGAAGTAAACCGCTCTATTCATCATTTCTACTGTCAAATAAAAAGGATGTTTACATGAGAACATATTGCTCTCTTTAATACAAAGACAAGGCCATTCCAGTGGTGTCATGACCAGCTGTCAGGTGGGAGATGCCTACAGGCTTCTCTGATAGAATCAGCCACTGGGTTTATCCTGCAGTCAGGCACAGCACAGGCGCCCATCGCCCTCAGGTCAGCTCTTGAGGGAATTGCTAACACTTCAATGTTCAACGGTATTCCAGTTAGGATCACTACAGCTGCCAAAACCAGGCATGTAGTTATCCTCAGTTTTACTTCTGAACAAGTTAACAATGACAAGAGAAATGATAATAGTGTTTTCATGTTTGTAGACTGAATAATTCTTTTGGTAACAACAAAGAATACTCAGACCTCTTGAACTTGCTTTGTAATACATATTTTGTAAAACAAATGCTGTTGGTTTAGCAGTAAACAAGCATCATTAAATGTTGCATACAAAACCCTGGTGAGCATTTTGTAAGTCATCTGCAGACTTGGGCTGTGAAAATACAACCAGGTGTGCTGGCAGTGAAGTCAATTCATCATTTAATTTCTCTGTCAACATAAAACAAAAGAGTGCTGATTGCCAAATCAAGTGGTTGCCTAGCACCATCAATGCAATTATTTCTACTCTTTTGAATTTTGCATCCAAATGCTTCTGTTAGCCCTTACTCTGTTGTAAGCTCAGATGCCTCACTGTCTGTGGTGGATTCCTCACTTTGTTCCCACTCTCTTTCCCCTATGTCTTTACAGTGGTCAGTGTACATCCGCGCTGCCGTCCGCAAAGAGAAAGGATTGCCGATATTGGTGGAACTGCTCCGGATAGACAATGACCGGGTGGTATGTGCAGTTGCTACAGCTTTACGAAACATGGCCTTAGATGTCAGAAATAAAGAGTTAATAGGTATGTTCTTTCCAAACAATCTATATATACTGTGGGTTTGGGGATTTTTTGTTTTTTCCAGTTCACAGCAGAATGAGCACAGTGAAAATTATCCTCACATTTCTAGAACAATTTTTTTAATTCTTTCTCTAGTGTGTCATATTCAGATTTTATGTGACAACTTGCTAGTATATATCAAGGAATTGTTAAATTAATTAAACATCATGCAATGTTTCTTGATCTCTCATGCTGTAATCTCTGTAAGAAAAGCAATGGCTTTGTTCTGCTTTAGCATTTCATTCTTAGGCTGGCAGTAGCACTTGCATCTTCCAGGTCAGGGATCTAAGCAGAGCACCCCTTCCTGATCCTCAGATGACTTATTGCAAGTAGCTTCGTAATCATGAAGTAACAAGGTGTAAAGATTTTAAAAAGGTTACAGGAATTTACTGGGCAGATGAGTAGCTCCAGCAAGAGAACTGGGAGACTCTTGCTTCACAAACAAATACGTTTTTAAGGAAAAGGACAATAATTTATGTAAGTCATTATTGCCCCTGAATTCTGATCATATGGTAAGCACACATCAGGGGTTTGGACATGTTTTATTTTGTTCAGGCATTTGTTGGGTTTTTTTAGCTGAAATTCATCTAAATACTGTGGGTCATTGAGCTTTTATTTTCATGTTCTGTCTTTGAAAAATAATCACTCCCTTGATTTTTAATTATTTCAACAATCTTAACCAAATTATTTCTACTTCTGTACATTAAGAGCATATTTTCTGTTAATTTTTCCTTACTTGTTGATTTGTTATCATTACAGCATATTTCTTCCCTGCTTTTAATTACAGAATTTTATAAATAGATACTATGATCATAATGTTTGTTATTTGCATCCAGTGCTGTCTCAGGGTTAATGCTTCATTACAGCTGTGGTCTGCAAGTTGTTAAAACAAGGCAATCACTCCTCTCATATTGGGAGGAGTGTCTCATTGTACTAATGTTCCCAGATCTGAAAATTTCATTTAGGAATGTAGCACTATACATTTAAAATTGAGCTGTCTTAATCTGATGTGCCATTCAAAAAACTAGTCAAATTATGGATTGTAAATTTGCACAACCTCAAAATTTTAATATTTTTTTAAATTCTTAAAGAACACTTCAGAATAGCTAAGATAAATTTTAGTAATTTAATAATAGCTGTAGAGTGCTGCTCTGATTTATGTTATTTGTAGGGTGATTCTGAGAAATTGTACTTCATAATTGCAATAGTAATTTGCTGCAGCTTAAAAACAGTCCAAACATGCCAATATGCAAGGGAGTTATAAGACTTGAACCATTTCAACTGGGATCTCTGTATGTTCATTTCTCTGGCTTTCATCATTGAACTTCAAAGAAACAGTAATAGCAGTCTTGTCTAGTATTTTTTAGCAAGTAGGGTCTATCATAGAGCTGATTTTTAGAAATGCTAAACATCAGCAGTGGTCAAGGACTTCAACTCATGTTGTAGTCCATCCATTTTGTTGATATTGCACTTCCATGTATTGTATATGTATTGCAGGATGCCTTAGCTGTTGTTATGCAAAGGTAGCCTCAAAAGGAGCTTGTGCTTTATGAGTGTTCAAACATCCTTCTGCCTAGGCAAAATCGACATGCTATTTATCTTTCCTCTTTCTGATTTTTATTAATGCATCAGGTTCTTGTGGTGACACACTTGGCCTTACAAGCTGGAATTTTCCCCATAAGATAACCTTTTATAAAGGAGAGTTTTCCAATTGTATATGTAGTAAAGTTACATAAGTAGAATTGAGTTGGTTGGGGGGTTTTAATGTCTTTATAAAGCTTTCATTTCAGTGGTGCTGTAATTCCTTTCCCAGCTGACATTTTTTACTGAAATGTGCCAGAGAATGATACATCTAATTCTGCTGCTGTCAAGCAGCCCCTACATTAGTATTAAGGCACCTGGAAAACATATTAGAAAGCTTGTTAAAATCCAGACTTGCATGTACTGTGCTACAAAACAAACAAAAAAAACCTCTTCTCAATGGCCAGAAGTTTCATAGTAGACTTCACTGAATTGACCAATCTGTTTTGTTTTTCACACGGATCAACAACAGTGTTGTTACATTGCTAAAGGTTGGTGTGAGGCTTCTCTCATAATTTATCTGATCCATCCCCATAGCAACATTATAGTGAGGTCTTCTTCCTGGGTTTCATTTCAGGCATGCTCCATGTCTTTAAAAGGACCTTCTTTTTTTCTTCTGTGTTGCTTTTGCAATGTGCCATGTGTCCCTTGGCAGAGACAACAGTCATATTAATTTTTCTCCTTCACAAAATTAAATTGCATTCAAAAACATTGTAAATCTGGCCTACTAGATAATGCAACACCCAGTTTTCTCTCCTTAAACACACTGCCCAGATGCATTCCTGGTCACGTGTTAGACCACAGTCATTTTCACTTGACTTCCAGGACCCTTGTCTGCATAAAATAGTACACAGTCTTTTTTGCTTCCCAAGAGTGCACCCAAGGGAAGGGTTTCTCAGCCTTTTCTTTCTTCCATCTGAGGGAAGGATCTACTACTGATACTTCCTGTTTCATTCTCCTTAGTTTCAGTGATTTAGGCTGCACAGCACCCCTGTGTCCCTCTGGTACCATAACATTTTTCCACTTCTATTCATGTGCTCAGCATTTTTGAAGGCTTCTTTTCTTTCCTTGAAGCAGGTTCTGTCTAAACTTCCCCATGGGTCCATTAGCTTTGCTCCCCAGCCCCAGTAGATGCCACTGAGTTGACAAAAATCACTTTTTTTTTGCTTTTGATGGTTAACTTAGAAGAAAATAACTTTTATTGCACAGGTCCTCTAAAAGCTATGTTGATGACCTCTATGCAGTTATGTCATCCCCATGTTCTTTCTTTCTCTCAGAAGGAAAAGGTGAGGAAGGGAAAGTAGAATAAAAAAACCCTTCTGTATTCCTCAGGGCTAGACTGATGCCTTAGTTTGAGAATATGACATTATTCTCTTTCTGCTGGGAATGCAGTTTTTAACTTGAGGATAACCTGCAGACCTCGTGCTGGCCAGTCAGGCCAGTGCCTCACACCAAAGCTATCACACTATCTTCCCTACAGTGAGTGTACTTACAGACTTCCATTTTCTAAAGCTACATTTTGTTGGAATGGTGTCAGAAATTGCTAACCTTATATAATTTCTTCTCTTTAACTAGAGGAAACTTGGATTAGCTGGATGGGGCAGAAAAGCTTGAAAGTAAACCCATCTCCTGTAAATAGCATCTTTGCAGGATGAATTGTTTCCTTGTTTTCCTGCTCCAGCAACCTTCAGTGGATTTCTGGTTCAAGTACCTTCCACACAGTCCTCTGGACTTTCAGAGAACTTTCTGTTCTGTTCTAGAGAACCTGAGTCTGCATGGTAGACTTCTGTCCTCAGGAGCTCTCCCAGCCAGCACTGGTGTAGCAGCCTCCCTTCTTGCTTATTCCCTCTACCCACTCTACATGTGAGAAGGCTTTCCAAATCAGGATTTCCCGTTCAATCCTGGGAACCAAGCCAGCTTCATCGTTCTTTTATCTGAAAGACAGACAGCATTTTCTTCTTTGCTGCTATCCACGACGTCTTTAACAAAAGAGATTATGCATTGTACAGTTAATTGAAAATGATACGACTTACTATTATACTAAACAAGCAGGTACAGACTATCCCTGTCTGAAATTTTTAAAGTATGACTGTCCCCAAAATTTGCATTTTCCTTGTTCTTGTGCACAGCATATACCTTTTATTTTAAATGGCAGTTACTGTGGCATTTTAAAGTGCAATAAGGTGGTCTTTCAAACAAGTTAACCTGATTTTTCAAGCTGCCCCAGATAAGAAATCTGTCATTATTCATGTAATATAGGATTTGTTCTCTTGAAGGAAAATTTGGAATTTGTATTAGTACTGTTCAGTGGTAAGTCCACAGGATACGGGCTTTGGAGAGAAAGTAGAGCTGGAGGTAAAACGTATCAAACTTCAGTGCACAGTTTTGTGCTTCAAGTCTTTCTGTCACTTTCATTTTATCCAGTGGTTTCTAATGCCATTCTGGGTCATTGTTGATTAAGAGGAATATCGTACTAGAAATTGAACAGCACCATTATTTCTCTTGGCCTCTTGGTCTGCGTTTTTGCAGTTAAATGAATATTTTTTTTTCCTTTTTTTACAGACTGGTAGTATTTTAATCAGTCACTCTTGGACAAAAGGGGGACAGTTCCACCTAAAGGTTTTTGTTGACTTGTATTGTGTAGAAAACAAGTTCTTGCATACATATGCCCTTAAAATGTTTAGAGAATCCAGGTGTCTGTTCAGGTCTGTAGGTTCTATGGAGTTTGATGGGATAAGTTGAAGTGTTGTAATAATGAAAACATCCTTGTGGATATCGTTGTAAAAGGTAAGTAAAGTCAGTGGTACGATCTCTTCTGCCTTCACAAGGTTTTGAAACAGGGCCTGTAGCAGGAGTAATTTTTAAATAGTTGTTCCTGAGTTGGGGCCTGTGTGTCAGTACTGAATTATCCTCTTCACTGTTTGTGTGTTGGTAATGCAGTTATACATACAAAATTCAACAGTAGTACATCAATTAAATTATTACTTAATGGGTGCTGGAAACTGCTTACTCTTGCTAGATGTCTAAAAGTTCATTGTCTGAGATATGATACCTGTAACAGAGGCCCTTATAGGTGACTGAGAGACTCACAGAAAGTGACTTAATTTGTGTAAAATGTGATAAAATGGAAATTAACCTGTATTACCATAACATCATTGTTTAGTTATAAAAAACATCTAAAAAGTGTGTAATTGTCAGTGTATGTCTTGTGATCTCATAGCATTGTGAGCCTGTTTGGGTGCTTGGTGTTTGTTTCAAAGTTTTGTTGCTAAACTTCAGAAAGCTTGACTGAATGATATATCAGGAGTTCACAACTCTAATGAGATTTGCAGAATAATTCCTGTTGGAAGGAACCACACAAGGTCACCTTGCCCAGCTTTGCA